GCACCCCAGACTGCTACAATGGAGGTGCGAATAGCCAGCCGATCCGATAGACGAACCGATCGTTGATCAACTTGACTACTCCCTTCTAGCCGAGTCTGCTACTCGACTACGGGAGTGGGGGACTCGTGTTGGGATAATGGGCCAGGTCCAATACTATCGACCCAATATGCCTGGGCTCGGGCGCGAACCAGGCCCAGCACACGGTCCGGCTAGATAATATGGTCCTTGGATTGATTGGTTTAACTTTGGGCCCGACCAGCCCATTGGCCTTGGATCAGGCTTCTTGTTTTAGTTGTTTAATTGGGCCAAGCCCATTAGTATTCAAGAAACCTCTTGTAAGCGCCTATAAATAGGCCGCCCCTCCTTTTGTATTGGAGAAGTGACTTTTGATGTACTGAATTGCTGCCGAATTTTCTACTCAACATATTTTCTACCAACAGTGATAATAAAATGATAATTGCTCAAAATATCATTCAAAGTCATAACAATAGAACATTCAAAGTTATAGTTGTACAAATACGGTAATTGAAATATTTGAACATGCATAATATGGTAATTGGCATAGAACAATTGAGATATTTGAACATGCATAATAATTCAAGGTAGTATATATACTACGCTAGTTCAGTTTTTCGGGCGCGTAGGGTAGCACAATCGGTAACCCTACACGCTACCCGCTTAAGTCTCGGGTTGCAAGAATCGGGTCGGGTTTGGGTATTTCGGGTCGGGTTTTCCGACCCCAACAAAAAAATCGGATATATCCGATTAGGTCAATCGGGTAGGGTCGGGTTTACTCTCCCCTAACGTGGACCAGACGAGCGTCTGGTCGGCATTCTTGCCGGATCATGCCCGAAATGGGCCTTGACGGTATCCTTTTTAAGGGTAATGAGTCAATCCGCTATCGGGCCTATTAATCCAACATAAGTCCCTCACTTCTGATGTTCCGAGCATGCGCGAGACATAAAGAAGTATGAATGTTCCCTCTAAGCCGAGCCCTCTTGATGCTCTGATGTGACAGTTATTAGGCGGTTCCCGAAACCCTAGGTGACGGTTACAGCGGCCGGTTCAACATCCAAGGTGAGGGTAATCATCGCGTATGTTGAGCTCCGCACGACACGTGTCCTGGTGTACGCTCCTCGCCACGTGTTGCATGCTCACTGCTCCACCATGTGGTGGAGATTCTATAAATAAATACTTACTCCATCGGATTGTTAAAGGTTTCCGAATTTTCGCGTAGCTGCTCCCAAGTGCTCCAATGTAACTCCGCTCAGGATCCCCGACCACCAGCTTCTCTCATCTCAAGCGTTTTAGGTAATTTTCCCTTTCGTTCCTTCTTATTACCCTCAGTTACCAATTTTTCCATGGATTCGCGTCTTTCATTTGAGTCTGATTCAGAGTCTCGTTCTTCGGGGGAAACGAGTACTTCCGGCACCACCGATTCCTCAAGTACGACCTGAGAAGCTATCGAAGATGCCGCCGGTGGGGGCGTCATCACCAATGATGGTGCCCAAGGGGACCCCGTTCATGGGGACATCACCCAAGAAGAGGAAGCCCATGGGGGTGTCGTCGATCCCAAGCCTGAAGACGTTGACTCAGGTGATGGGGCCTACTCAGGGGACGATCTGACCATCTTCGATAAGGGCAATCCTCACGACGTCCCGCACCACGTGGTACCGTTGTGGAACGCCCATGGTTGTGAACAATTCTTCTCGGATAAGGCTTTGAAAGATCTTAAATTATACCTCCGTCCGCCGATCTATTATGGCCTGCGCTGTGCGGATCAACCGATGAAGAGACGCCCTGGCATGTTGATGGTTCACTTGGATTCGGTACAAGCACGGTTGCGTTTCCCCCCTTCATCTCTTCTACCTTGATCTCTTCCGCCGCTATTAGGTCAACCCGGCTTAATTTATGCCCAACGCTTTTTAGGTTGTCTCAGCTTTCATCGTCCGATGCATCGATAGGGATGCCGAGTCGAGCTTGGACCTGTTCCGCCATTTCTTCAAACTCTCTCCCCAAAACGCTGGTGGATTTCTAAGCATCAGTGTCCGCCCGCGACGGAAACTTTTCCATGGGGCTCCCTCGTCCATCCATGACTGGAAACACCGCTTCTTCTTCATCCAATTGCCCGAAGGTCAACTGCCCGAGCGGTGGAATGGATACCCGCCGTAGTATGGCTGCCTCGTCTTACTGATGAGCTGGAGAAGGCCATCAATAAAGTGAAAGAGGGGGGCTCCGAGCATCTGGAACCTTACCTTACTTTTGGGGCGCTGACCGATGCAGAAATAGGTATCGCCCGTTTCCATGGAATGGATAATTACCCCCTCCGAGCCATATCGAGATCTCGGACGGTTCCGTTCCTGCAAGGTGAGTGTCCTTTTGCAAAGTAATTACAATGAACCCTAAGGCTTTCAATATTCATCTTCTCCAAGATTTCTCAAACATGCGTAGGTTATTCTCAACCCTTATTTTCGCTGATCATCTTCTTCGTGTAATATGCTACCATCATTCAAAGTTCAGTGGAGCCATCGCCGCTGCTAAGGTAACCGTTGCTGTCGTCAGAAATTGAGATGTTGCCGCCGCCGTTGATTCTGAAGATCACACGCACCTGAGATCATCGTTATTTACCATTTGAGCCGGTGATTGATGAATTCTGGTTTCACGACAGGCTGGAGGTCGAAGACTGAGTTCAAGTTCGAGATGTTGCCGATCAAGCTTCTGATTTTCGGAGACAAGGGGAGTCTACTTCATTGCTGAGGAATCCTTGCTCCTATTGATCTCAAATGAGTTTTATATTAAACTTAAATGAGTATACACCTAAAAGGGATGAATATACACCAAGTTTTTTTTTAATTTTTAGATACTCATTTTGTGCGTTATGTGTGCTCATTCGATAACGCTGTTATGCTCATTTTAAAATGTTATATCAATGCATATTTCAAAAGTACCGTATTACATTAGATTCACATAACAGTTGATTATAAACACGCGAGCACAAATCATGATACTCGATCGCGTGATTCTAGTACTCAATATCGGATGTTTGATACTCACTAAAAATGTTTTGATGCTCAACTAATAAAACTTATAATTTTCATATCAATGCTCATTTTGTAAGTTACGCATGTTCATTTGGTATTGATGTTATGCTCATTTTAAAATGTCATATAATGCATATTTTAAAAGTACCATATGACATTATATTCACATATTGAAATTCATAGGAGTTGATTATAGATATAATTTTAAAAAAAAAGTTATAAAAGAGAAAATAACAAAAAGAAAGTGAATTAAAAGTCATGAAACAGATATCACGATGATCAATATTAGACTCATAATACTAAACAAGATATGTTTGATGCTCATTAAAAGTTCATTAATTCTCATCATTTAACAGAAAACATGTTTTTCATATCAAGAGAGGAGGTTTGATGTTTAATGATTTTCATATCAATGCGCATTTTGTAAGTTACATTTGCTCATTTGGTACAGATTTTATACTCATTTATAAATTGTCATATCAATACATATTTCAAAAGTAGCATATTACATTAAATTCACATATTGAAATTCATAAGAGCGGATTATAGATATAATTTAATAAGTTTTTATAAAAGAAAAAATAAGAAAAAGAAAGTGAATTAGACGATAGGAAGCAGAGATCGTGATGCTCATTGTTAGGCTTTTAATACTCAATACAATAGGTCAGATGCTCACTAAAAGTACACTAATGCTCATTTAGTGAAAGCCATAACTTTTCACTCAATTTACAAAAATGCTACCGTTAAAAAATTTGCCCTTTCGCTTGTTTTCTACCTCAAACACAGGACCTTTTGTTTATGGGCTGTCTTCATTAGTTATTGTGGGCCTTCGTTGTATTGGGCGGAAGCTTAAACAAAATTATAAAAATACCTTAATGTACGATTCCCACCCGTTCACCTGTGTGTATAATATACGAACGGTTGAAAATGCGATACCAATTTTATTAACAAGTTAATTATTTTTAATGTAAAAGTGCAATAACTAAACATAAAAGTGTAGTGTCATGAAATGAAACTGAAAAATTCACACCCTTTTTATATTAATTGAATTCCATCTAAGAATTTCACAATTAAATATTAAATATATGTGTATTTGTATTCGTGCATCACTCAAGTGCAATACCTTCTTATATAATTTAATTCCACTAGATTTTCAAATCTAATAGAAATAACCTAAATTTATTAGGGAAAACACATTTCTTTCATCAACATGTGTTTTTAGTGTTATTCATAACTTTTTTGCATCAGCAACAAACATGTCTTATATTGATTATAAGCAAATGTTTCTAAATTTAAAGGCAGAAAATTATCATAAAATTTAACACTTGTGTGGAGTCTAATAAGATTAATATTGACGGGGGTAAGATAAAAAATAATCAAAATTCACTGGGTAATTATACACTTTTAAAAGTACAAAGTTGAATTAGTAATTATGACTCAATCCAAAATGGTAACTATAATTGTCTATTAAAGTAATTTTTTATTACATAAAGTATGATAACGGAAATGTTTGTGCCTCCAATGATATAAGAATATCTTTAAAACATGAAACCATTGGTGAGATTATAAAACTATTAATTGTATTTAACAAAATATCCATAGCAGCTATCGAAGAAGTACATAATAAATTTCACAATTATATGTTTTGGGCAATAGGATGACATATTTTCAATGTTGATTTGGCTGGCAAAAAATTATGCTTTTTCTATTCGGTTAAAGTTCGTGAAGTTTGATGGGTTCATGACATAAGAAAGTAAATGCTATGTTTCTAATTTGTGGAAAGGAATGAGAAACAATAACAAGTAGAAATTAATAACTAAAAAATGTGTTTTAGTTAAAAGAAAGATTTTCAATAATGTTTATTTGGTTGGCAAAAATTATGCTCCTTTTGTTTGGTTAGAATTTATTATGGTTGATGGGTTCATGAAATAAGAAAGTAATAAGAAAAACAAAGTCAAATTTGTTGAAAGGGATGAGAAACAACCACAAATTAATTAATTACTCAATGTCAAAGTTTAACGTTTACAAAATATAGCATGCAAAAAACCAAATTCAGCGAAAGGGAAAATAAAGAACAAATTGTCATCATCTCCCACCACTCAATGACATAGATAACATCTCCATGCTCTCCTTCACTCGTCTTACCACCACTAGTGAAAGAATATCTCACATTAGTAATTGTGTGAGAAGATTCAAACGACGAAATATACTCATTATCTTTTGAAGACGTTTCATTTTCCCCTAATCCTCCCCCTGGGTGTCTCTCAAGAACTCTCAATCCCTCTATCTCCATTGCCACTTCTTTCATAGTTGGCCTATCATCCCTCTTCACCTTCAAACAACGGCTGGCAATCTTCCCAACTTGCATAAGTTGATCGAAGTTGACATCGTTAACTATCCGATGGTCAACTGTTTCAGACAACCGACCATTTTTCAGAGAAGAAACAAAATAAGCCCCCAGATTCCTATGCTCCTCTGCCCTAGTAGGTGAAATTGCCTTCTCTCCCGTTAATAGCTCTGCCAGAACAACCCCGAAACTATAAACATCGCATTTCTCTGTCAATTGGCCCGTGTGAAAGTATTCTGGGTCAATATATCCAAATGTTCCTTGCACTAAAGTTGTGATTTGACTTCGGTCAAGAGGGACACGCCTTGAAGCTCCAAAGTCGCCAACTTTTGCAGTGAGCCTATCATCAAGTAGAATATTTGCTGTCTTTACATCTCTATGAATGATTGGAGGAGAAGCAGCAGAGTGTAGATATGACAGCGCTCCAGCAGATTCTGATGCAACTCTAAAACGGGCCGCCCATGAAAGATTTGATGATTGGGCATGGCGTGGAGATGCTCTTAGAGAGTGCCATTGGTTATAAACTCATAGACTAGTAATGGAACTTCTGTCTCTAAACAACAGCCGAAGAGCTTGACAACATTTCTATGGCAACCACTCCTATTTCATTGAGTGCACCTTTGTAAACTGTCCCATATCCTCCTTGGCCTAAGATAGTTTTTTCATCAAAATTGTTGGTGGCTTTCTCAAGATCTTCTAGTGTGAAGATTTTCATTCTTGTATCACTTGATCCTTCGCTTCCAGCTATGTGTTTCTGTAACAGCATGCCACCATTTTGATGAAAAAATTGCTCTCTAAGTTTGTTAAGCCTCCTCTTACTCGATCCCAAGTATATGAAGAAGCTTACTACTAGAAATAATGTGACAGCAACACTCACACCTGTGTATCACAAGTTGAAGTACAATAATGAATTTATTGCCTTCTTTTAATTACTACCAAGTACATGCAACCTTAAGTATTTTCTAACTTTCCTATTTTTGTGTCCAAAAACTTTATTTGTCCCCCTCTAATGTGTCTAATTTCCAAGTATTGTTGTTTCTCTACAGTGGGCTGGCTGGGGAAGTATTCAATACATACACACACACATATCCCATTCGTTCTTGAATTGAGTAGACGAGTAGTTACAGAAAGTAAAGATATGCATTTTTATACTGAGTATTTAATATGGGAAGAGAAAAACTGTGAAACACATTTCCTTTTCTGTAAAAACAAATGAACAATAATTTTGAGGAAAAAAAAAAAATATATATATACAACTTTTTAGGATCAGAACATATATGAAGGCCCCAAATATCCGAAAATATTCTAAGTGTTTGGCTAACTTACAACTCAAAGGAATGGAGGAGAATGTATTATATTCCACTTGATAAAACATTACAATTGGTGGCCTTATATAGGCAATACAAGTGGAGTAAAATAATCCCTAGGAAATACAATTTACCTTTCCAAGAAGACCTTTCATCTCTCCAATAAAAGTAGGGAAAGATAATTTATGTTCCCTAGGAAGTAAACTAATTAAGATTAATTAATTAATCCCAACAAATTCCTCCTCTAATCTTAATTCTCTTCGGTCTCTCATTCCGAGCCCCAACTTGCAATGCTCAAAGGTTGCGATTGGCAATGCCTTTGTGAAGATGTCTGCTGCTTGATCTCGGCTCGCTACGTGAATTAGACTGACCTCTTTGTTCTTCACTTGCTCTCGGATGAAGTGGAATCGAACGTCAATATGCTTGCTCCTCTCATGGTGGACTGGATTCCTTGCAAGCTCTATTGCTGATTTGTTGTCAACACAAATCGTAGTCGGCTCCGTCTTCCCGAGCTCCAGCTCGGTCATCATCTTTCTCACCCAAACTGTGTGTCTTACACAGTATGATGCTGCGACATACTCTGCTTCACATGTTGACAAAGTTACAATCGGTTGCTTCTTTGATAACCAAGTGAAAGCTGTGTTTCCCAGATTGAAAACATAACCGGTGGTACTCTTTCGATCGTCTACATCTCCACACCAATCGCTGTCAGAATACCCTATCATTTTGGGCTCGGCCGACCTCCCGTACAATAGCCCGTGCGTCTTCGTCCCTTGGATGTATCTCAGGATCCTCTTTATCGCCTTCCAGTGAGATTCCCTCGGGTCCTCCATGAACCGACTGATAACCCCAACGCTGAAAGCCAGGTCCGGTCTCGTACAGGTTAAGTACCTAAGACACCCGACCAGACTTCTATATAAGCCTGCGTCAGCTTGATTTCCTCCCCCAAACTTAGAAAGTTTGGTTCCAGTCTCCATTGGAGTCCTGACCGGCTTGCATTCCTCCATTTTGAACCTTTTCAGAATCTCCTTAGCATAGGCTTCTTGGGAAATAAATATTCCGTCTTCGGCTTGCTTCACCTCAAGGCCTAGGAAGTATTTTAATAGTCCCAAGTCTGTCATTTCAAATTCATTCTTCATCGCTTCCTTGAAATCTTTAACCATTTTTCCGTTGTCTCCCACAAAGATTAGGTCATCCACATACAGGGCGACAAACAAGACTCCATTCTCATTCTTCTTCACGTAGAGTGTGTGCTCATATGGACATTGTAGAAAGCCACTCTGCTTGAAATATGTATCAATTGGAGTGTTCCATGCCCTTGGTACCTGCTTCAACCCATACAGAGCTTTCTTTAGTTTCAGTACTTTGTTCTCGTTCCCGAATCGGACGTACCCGGCTGGTTGCTCAACATAAACTTCTTCTTCCAAAGTTCCGTTAAGGAACGCTGACTTTACATCCATCTGACCGATCGGCCACTTCATCTGGGCAGCATATGCAATCAGTAGTCGAATTGTATCCATCCGAGCTACTGGAGCAAATACCTCGTCATAGTCAATTCCAGCCTTTTGCTTGTAACTTTTTGCAACAAGCCGAGCTTTGTATCGCTCGATCATACCTTCAGCATTGCATTTCTTCTTATACACTCATTTGACTCTGATCGGCTTATGACCTCTCGGGAGATTGGTAAGTTCCCAGGTCTGATTCTTCTCAATCGCTTTTATTTCTTCGTTCATGGCATCTCTCCATTTTTCATCGTGCTTGGCTTCTTCAAAAGTAATATCCTCCCTATCGGCTAGAAGACATACCATGTGAACTTCTGGAGCTGCTTCATATATGTCTTGTATGTTTCTGTACCTTTGCCGGCTCGTCCCTTCTTCTTCTTCCTCGTCCCCCGAGGTCGTCATAGATCCCGCCCCGATTGGTTCTGGTGTCATCTCGAGCGGGATTGGAATTGGGGTCCCGCCCGGGGCCTCTTCATCATTTGAGGTCCCGTCCGGGACGTCCTCGTTATTTGAGGTCCCGTCCGGGACGTACTCCTTCTCTGTGTTCCAATCCCAGCTTCCTTTTTCATTTATCTCTACATCTCTGCTCACTGTGATCTTTTTCTCCTCGGGATCATATAGTCTGTATCCCTTTGTCTTCTCATCATAGCCAATGAAGACAAGCTTCTTGCTTTTGTCTTCCAATTTTGTCCGTCTCTGATCGGGCACATGTGCGTAAGAGATACTCCCAAACACCCTCAAGTGTGACACGGTCGGCTTTTGACCACTCCATGCTTCTTGAGGTGTTAGATTTTCAAGATTTGAGTGCGGACACCTGTTCTGTACATACACCGCACATCGTACCGCCTCGGCCCAAAATTGCTTTGGCATATTTTTGCTCTTGAGCATGGATCTTACCATGTCCATAATGCTCCGGTTTTTTCGCTCGGCCACCCTGTTCTGTTGAGGTGAGTACGGGGCGGTAAGGAATCTTCTAATTCCTTCCTCTTCACAAAACTTTGTAAAAGAGTCTGAAATGTATTCTCCCCCCGGTCTGACCTCAACGCTTTCACCTTTAGCCCGATTGTCTTCTCCACCTCGGCTTTGAAATTTTTGAATGTTTTAAAGGCCTCCGATTTTTCTTTTAGAAAATATACCCAAGTCTTCCTGGTGTAGTCATCAATAAAGGTGATAAAGTACCTTCGCCCACTGAAAGATGATGGCGTGATCGGCCCACAAATGTCCGTATGGACTGTCTCCAATGCTCCCTTGGCTCGGTACTTGGCAGTCTTCTGAAAGCTCGTCCGGGTGTGTTTCCCAAGTACGCAGCTTTCACAGAATTGCTTTGGAAAATCCATCTCGGGTAGTCCATGCACCAAGCCCTTTTTGCTCAGCTCGGCTAATCCTCCAAAGTTCAAATGTCCGAAACGTAGGTGCCATAATAGTGACTTGTCCGTCAGGTCGACTTTCAAGCACTTATGGTTTACGCTTCTCAAGTCCAACTTGTACATTCTGTTCTTGGCCATCTCTACCCGGGCGACGGCCCGGCCTCGTCTATCCTTCAAGTGTAGGTATCGACCACTTAGGTCGGCTGAATACCCTTTCTCCATAAGCTGTCCCATGCTTATGATATTTGTCTTCATGCTCGGGACATAGAGTACGTTTTCAATCGTCCCCTCTTGTCCATTCTTTTGCAGAAATTTAACCTTTCCTCGGCCTTTGATAACTACTTTTGATGTATCTCCAAAAGATGCATTTCCTCCCTCAGCCTCCTTCAACTCAATGAATAAATGTTTATAACCACTCATGTGGTTGCTCGCCCCGGTATCCAAGTACCATGTAGCGTCGTCTGTTAAGCTTCCTTCTTTGTGTGCTAGTAAGAGCACTCCTTCCTCATCTCCATCATCATCCTCATGCTCAGCAACATTTAGATTCTCCTCCGGTTTTGGTTTCGACCAACGGTCTCTTGCGAAATGTCCCCGTTTCCTGCAATTGTAGCATTCCCCATCGGGTCTGCCTCCCCGACCGCCTCAGGCAACTCCTCTGCCTCGGCCTCTCCAGGTCGGGCGATGTTGGTCCTCCCGGTTCTGGTGGGTATTCTCCTCTCGGTTGTAGTCTCCTCTTCCTTGGCCCCGGCCACGGAAGTGACCTCGGCCTCGGCCTCTCGGTTGATGGGCATACATTGCCTTCTCCTCTACCACCACGGTTTGTAATGCCTCTTCAAGCGATTCTAGCCGCTTCATCTTTCTTTGTTCATGTGCCTCCAACGACCCCGACAGGTCGTCAATGGTAAGCGTTTCAATATTTCTAGCTTCTTCGATTGCGCATACCACGTTCTCGAATTTGTCCGTAAGTGTTCGTAGAATTTTTTCTACTATCCGACTCTCACTTACGGTTTCACCATTTCTCTTCATATGGTTTGCTATGGTCATCACCCGATTAATGTACTCGGTGACCTTCTCGTTCTCTTTCATCCGCATAGTCTCCAACTCTCCTCGTAGAGTTTGCAACCTCACTTGCTTTACTCTTTCCCCTCCTTTGAATACTCTTTCGATGATGTCCCAAGCTTCTTTTGAAGTTTCGGCATCGGCTATCTTCTCGTGGATGGTGTCATCCACTGCTTGAAGCAACCAAAACAGTGTCGTTTGGTCCTTCTTTTGTGCTCCTTCGAGTTCCACTTGTTGGGCAACCGTCAAGACGGTTCCTTCCTCCGGTGTTGTGTAGCCATTATCGACAACATCCCATACTCCTTGTGACTTCAATAGTGCTCTCATTTGAGCATTCCATCGATCGAAGTTTGCTTTCTTCAATTGAGGTAGTTGGCCGAACATGGTGGCTGTCATCTTCTTCTTCAACAGTGGCTCTGATACCAATTTGAAGGCCCCAAATATCCGAAAATATTCTAAGTGTTTGGCTAACTTACAACTCAAAGGAATGGAGGAGAATGTATTATATTCCACTTGATAAAACATTACAATTGGTGGCCTTATATAGGCATTACAAGTGGAGTAAAATAATCCCTAGGAAATACAATTTAGCTTTCCAAGAAGACCTTTCATCTCTCCAATAAAAGTAGGGAAAGATAATTTATGTTCCCTAGGAAGTAAACTAATTAAGATTAATTAATTAATCCCAACAATATAAAGAATTCAGATTGAATGAGTCTATGACTAGGTGTTATACTTCTCTAGCTTGAGCGTGAATATTTTTGTTCAATTGAATTGGCCACTAAATGGTATGCACGCTTGTTTCTTGGGTCTAATACGACAAACAAAGAGTTATGTACGTAATACTCAGTCTCCTATTATAGAAGGTTTAACATTTTCCTATGGTATAGAGATGGAGAACATTTTATATTAAATTGTACATGCATTATTTCGACTATATAATGTGTAGCTAATTTTGATAATTTCTCAAAGTATTCTTGGCAAGGAAGATCTATAAGTAAAGATGGTTATGATAAATAGTTGAAATGTTTCAAAGAGGGATCACTTACTGGTACAAATTAACGGCAAGGTATTATTGCCACGCTGCTTGAGGATACAACCTGTTCTGTTTTTGTACCCATCTCCTTTGTATTCTTTGGGGCACGAACAAGTGTAGCTGCCAGGAGTGTCCTTGCAATTTGCATTGGTAGCGCAACGGTGATCCTTTATTTCTGCATTCCTCTATATCTATATAAGAAAGAAATGGAGCACAAATCAATAACATCATTATGAGATAATTACTATTATTATTATTTATGTATTATGAAATATGTCAAAAAGCAACAACGTTTTCAAGCTTGTCCGTCCTTTTTACATTTAGCAATTCAAGCAATCAACAACAAAATTCTGTCAATTAATCAAAGTTAGATACACCCTAAATAGCGCAACTCAAAATTATTCAAAACTCCAAATTTCCAATAAAGTAAAATTAGAGAATTCTGAATGAGAGATTGATGATACTGAAGTCTGAAACTAAATAGTGGCTCGGCCAAAGCAGAGAAACTGATGGCTGAATTAGCAGCACAACCTCGAGTCTCGACCCTTTCTTCTGCTTCAGAACCGCATATAAACTTTTCCTTTTAGCTTCATTTAAAATACTCCGTAATGTTTAGTCTTTCGTAAATTGCCAATTGAATTGGGGCTTGAGCTTTGGCACTTCGAAGACGTGATCTAGAAAAAAATGACACACCATCCGTGGATGGGCCCCCAGAACCGATGAGACACTTAATCTGAAAGGATGCAGTGAAGACATGATCTCTTGTTCTAGTCGCTGCTGCTTTGTTGTTATTTAGGTTTTGTTTTCTTTTAATTGGTTTTTCAATTGGGATTCAAGCATTTCCATTTCAGTTTTTAAGTTTGTTTTTTTTTTTCAAAAAAAATAACTTAATTAATAATAAAACTGAGGACCAGATACAAATTCGACATAACAAAAGCTACGCTGGGGTGAGACTCAGAGCTGGAATCACGCTTACTGGCGGTCCATCTTGCTAACCCCACAATGTGGTAGACTCCATACACAGCACTGTTGTACCTGCTACTAGAATGATAATGAGAGAGCAAAACAGAGTTGGGACTAAAAAAATTGAAAAGGAACATAATCCAGTTTGACCAGCCACTGGTAAGGAAATAGTGATTTGACCAGCCTCTGCTAAAGGAACAAACTTCATATTCTCATCTTCTCCCGCAACTGGCGGTGCTGTCCAGACAGCACTGCCGCTTCCAAGTTTTTTGATGATGCTTCATCAACATCCATGCTCGCCTGAGCCTCCATCTCGCTATATTTATCAGTAATCCGACGCTTTCTAGGTGTATCCTGTGCTGTGGTAGCCTCTTTTCCTTTTGCCAAGAGTCCTTCCAGGAGCGGCCCTAGGTGGGGGGCAGGGGGCGGGGTACATAGGCCCAAAAAAATAGAAAAAATTTAAGTCCAGAATTTTTTCTTTGGAATAGGTTTGAGTAGGCTGAGTTTTCATCCTTAAATACCACTTTTGTCCGGCCCAATAGCCCTGATGCTTTAGAATACGGAAGCGCTTAGCGGCTAATTAGAATTACGCGAAAAGTGCAGTCTTCTAAGTTCTAACTCACGTCTGCCGAAAGCCCTAAAGGAGTTACGTAGCAGCCTGCCTAATCCCTTAGTCCTTAGACGGCTCGGAGTTACTCTAGTCTCCAATCTTCGAAGTTCCTCACGGCCCTCACCGCCTTAGCCCTCAGCAAATTACTACGGAGTAAGAAGCAATTTAGCCAATTAGCCTTGAGCCTTCACAAATTCAAATAAATAACAGTCTCTTTGTCATCCGGTAAGAAGCAATTTTGAACCCCCCGGTGATCTCTTTCAAGAATTGAAAATGTTGCAAAATGTTTTACCGGATGACAAAGAGACTGTTATTCAAATTCTTGAATTTGTGAAGATTATGGGCTGCTATCCGAACACAACAATTGCTTATAGGATACTATTGACAGTACCGGTAACTGTGGCCACTGCAGAAAGGAGTTTTTCAAAATTGAAGATTCTCAAAAATTATTTGCGATCAACAATGTCTCAAGAAAGGCTTAATGGATTAGCTATATTAAATATTGAACATACTTTGTTAGAAAAGCTAGATTATGAAGTTATAGTTGATGACTTTGCTTCACAATGTTCAGCAAGAAATGTATTTAAGTAATATTTTATTTGGTTCTTTTGAAAACGTGATTCGACTATGTTTAATTTAATGAATTCAGGTATTTTCTTAATTATAAAGGTCTTCGAATATTATTATTTTGCATGTTAATTTAGATAGAAATGGGGTTGACATTTTTTTCTAAAAATAGGCTCATTTTAAATTATTCGCCCATAGGCCTTCAAATATATAGGACCGTCCCTGAGTCCTTCCACCAGATAGCTCTCCTGTTTCCCTTTTTCTTGATCAGACTCTACTATTTTCCCCTGCGTATCGCTCACTTTGTTGTTGCTAGGTATGAGCCATCTATTTCCCGGGTGCATCCCTTCCCTCCTCATGTCTACTCGAAGCCACGGCCCATACGGTTTCTCTCCAATTCCCAACCCACTGTGCGGATTAGAGGGACAGAATCGATCAGCGTGACCAAGAATCCCACATAGAATACAGAAGTTCGGGAGTCTCTCATATTTAAAATTTGCCCAAATCCAGCCGTCTCCCTCCTGTCTAACTTGTAAACGCCGGGTTAAAGCCAAGTTAACATTCAGAGTGACCCTAATGCGCATAACCAACCTTTGCTTTCCGCCGGAATAGCTCTCATCCAGTTGCACAAACTTACCAATGTTGTTGCCTATTCCTCGTGCAGTCCTTGCCGTCATGTAACTTAGCGGTAAATCATGAACCTGAACCCAAAAGTCCGCATGGTGCAATGCAATCTCCAAAGGTTTATCAGTACGTTCCAACCGTTTGATAACCACCAAATTCTGCTCAAAAGACCAAGGCCCTTCATCCACAACTCTGTTCCGGTCACCTTCATGATAAAACTGTAGCAAGAATGTTGAGTCCTCGATTTCATCTATGGAGACCCCTTTCACTGGTCTCCAGACCGTAGCCATTGTTTGACAAAAGGAAACAGCCCGAACAGGTTTATGAGATACCACTTTGGTCACCGCCGCTAGATGAAAACCCTATGTTTTCCCACGTTCGTTCTCCACCGGATCAGCCGCAATCACCAATCCCCTGTTTTCTTCCTCAGCAATTGAGAGCATATTAACATTTCTCGAGATCATGTCCATTTCAAGCCAAAACAAAATCACCGAATCAAAACAAATTGGAAAAGAAACGTGAACACAAAATCTCGCAGCAACACACTTCGTTCACAGCAGTGGAAACAAATGCAGACCAAAACCAGAGAAAACAACACAGTAATCCTCTGCCAAAACCAGCCGGACGAAAGCACGGGACGGAAATCGCCCGGAAGAAACTGAGAGAAAAAAAATAAGATTACCAGACCCGACTTAACGGAATAGCGTGCACCTCCTCCTTGCCGCCTAGCTCAAATCGACGGTCAACATCTTACCCTGCGCTGCCGCTGTCATCGTGCTGCTAGAACGACGGTTGACTTACTCTATGAAATTTCACCAGTTTTTAAGTTTGTTATTTTTGGGCTTTGCAATTTCAGGGGCTGGATGAATCATAATTATATTATATCCATTTTTGTGGCGAGCCAAAACAAATTTAATGTGTAATTTTTTTTACATATATACAAAACAATTGGGGGGCATTGGCTCCCGCCAGCCCCCTGTCTCTACCATGTGAGGAAAGACAGAAAATAATACAGAGTATTAATGCCGTAACCCCTATTTTCAGCTTATCAATTTTATGAGTCAACTTTTTTACCAAACACTTAAAATTTGATTTTAGCGTTGAATTGTATAATGATAAAAATAAATAAGGTTAAAGTTACTTTTTTGTCTGATGCTACTTTAAAAGAACCTTTTATATTTTATTAACAAATATTTTAAATTTAGTTTCAACATAATTGAGCAGATTAAGCCAATGTAGATGCTTTAACTTGAATTTCATGAATTTCAGCAGATTCAGCCTATTCAACCAATTTTAGAGCTTGTTTGATAACACTCAAATTGGCTGAATCGGCTGGATCTGTTGAAATTCATGAAATTCTTGCTTTAGTGGTTGAATTGGTTGAATCTGTTGAATTGTGGGAAAAAACATTTAAAATACATCTATTAATAAAATAAAGAAAAGTTATACGAAAATAGCTAATTCAGCTAGAAAAGTATCTTCAATATAATTAACCTTACTTATTTTGATTATTGAACAACCCGGTGCATGAAATAAAAAGTTACGTGTTTGGTGAAAAAATTGACTAATAAGGATGATAAATCCAAAAACAGGGTCACCAAACGCCCCTAATGTTATCAAACGAGGCCTTAGTGTTATCAGACGAGCTTTTACCTTTTAAGAGGAAAGCTAGCAAACTTCACAAAGTTGTCTCACTTAATATTTCTTGCACAGTAAGAAAGTGAAAACCGTCATATTTTTGTCCACCGATTTTACAAGTTATAATTTCTCTTAACGAAATATTACTACTAGTATTTAAAATAACTCTAATAAGCCGGTAGACGTAGCTCAGCTAGTAGATAGAGAGTGTCACGTGGGTTAAGTCACGGGTTTAAATCCTGACAACTGGGATGAGAGGTTGTTATGTAAAAATGCATAAGGCCTCTGCAAGTTTATCTTGACCAGAGCCCAACTCGCTATCTATCTGTCTTAGATTAAAGTCTACTTTATTCCCCTAGTTAATTGTCCGACCGGTGCTAGGGGCAGGTCTGATCCAGACATTTTATGGCCCTGAGACAATATAGATTGAGTAGGCCTTAGGGATAACGTGTGAATGTTTATATGTTTTATAAAAAAAACAATAAGTAGAATTAAACAATTTTGTCATCTAAATAAGAGTATAACACATCAAACAAATTAATAAATGAGATGGTTAGATAGATTATATTCAAGTATTTGATAAGTAACATGCGAGTATACTATGTACCTAAACCGGCTGAATGGAAAAGTAATACAATTGTTACTTGAAATAAAGAATTTTGAAATGGAGAAAGATGTTCACTAGATTAAAACACATTGCAAATTTCTAAATTCGTTTACTTACATGAGAGAACCAAATAAAATTAGCAAAACACTATCAATGAATCGTGAGCTTACATGAGAAAAGTAGATGAAAATAACATTTATGGGTTAATCCTTAATGAATCAAAAGAAATGGTGAATTATATTCTCCAGGAATTTTGGTGTGTATGTTTCAAAATTTTAGACTTGTAATTTGAAGATGTTGAATAAATTGAAATTATAAAAAAAAATATAAGTTCGTTTTTATTTTTAATTTTTATAATAAAAATAATAACAATAAAAATAATGCAAATTTGATTGATTGAATAGGAATAACAGAGTATGGACGAAATGTTTTACTAGATTAAAATTGCTGGAATGAATGGATATATTAAATATAATGGTGAAACACAAGTCCATCTTTTGTCCTAGCTCTGTCTTCACGGGTGTGCGTTTGAAAATGGTGTTTCAGTCAAAAAGTGACAGTTTAACCTTTTTTAGCGTTTTTAATAAGTGAAAATGTTATTTGGTAAATCGTTGTTCGGCCCTAGCATTTTTGGATGAAATCGCTAAAATTATTTACCTATTTTTGAACTCATACTATTTTTTGTATTATTATTACATTATTTATCAAATTTATATGAATTTTTATAAGATTAATCAATTGTTTTACCTAGTTTTTTTAAACAATATGATTTATCAAGTTAAAATGACTTGGTTGACTGAATTTTTGAAACAAAACTTATATCAAGTTTTAACATCTTTAACTTTTTCAAGTCAATAATGGTAAAGTTTGGACCACGATTTCAATTAGTATAATATTATGAAAGTTATAAATATTATAGCTTTATGAAAATAATTTGAACAAAGAATGTTCCAATATAATTTCTATACTATACTACATAATTAATTTCCTATGAAAATATATAAGTGGTCGATTGACCATGATTCAAAGATTGCAAAGTTTAAGAGATCGAGTGAGTAAATAATACAAACTTTAGAAGTAGCTTTTAATAATATCAACTATTTGAATGTAGAACAAAAATAAAATGGAGTCATTTTTTAAAAAAAATCCACTAATTTAAGACATTAAAAACTAATATCAAACCAATAAATAATATTCGGAAATACGCTTACTAACTTTATATTTTGATACCAGTTTTTTATGAATTAAATGACTAATGTTTTAGTAAAAAATTGCTATGTATTGGGCACATAATAAACATCGGAAATAAATTGGTGGCTACCATCCTTTAGACGGATTAAGATGTTACCTCTTCCTTCAACCGATACCTTTGACTCATCTCCAAATGTGACTTTTCCGTTGGCTTGCTTAATTTCCGCAAACATGGTTTTGTCACCGGTCATGTGGTTGCTAGCCCCGGTATCTAACACCCACATACTCTTTCTTTCTTTTTCTTTAAGATCATGTGCCATCAATAAGGTAAGATCAACTTCATCCTTGATGGGGTTAAACTTTTCTTCCACTTCACAGTAATTTGCCTTGCAATCGGAAGCGAAATGACCAAATTTATCACAATTATAGCATCTAACTTGTGATTTCTCATACCTTTGGTATCCGCCTCTTCCACGACCTCTTGTCGGCTTGAAGTGTTGTTTTTTCTCTTCTTCGTGTTCTTGGTGATTTTCACCATGTCCTCTTCCTCGGCCTCGACCTCGTCCACGGCCCCTAGCTCGCCCTCTTTGACCATCACCTCTTTTGAATGAAAGTTGTGTATAAAGTGCTTGCTCCAACGGATATTGCACTTTCTTCTTCTTCATTTTTTCTTCATGGGCCACTAGTGATCCGTTAAGTTGGTCTATAGTCATCGAGTCTATATCATGTGATTCCTCAATAGCTACTACCACATGCTCAAAATTTGGAGTTAAAGAGCGAAGAATTTTTTCTACCACTCTTGTATCTTCCAAATTTTCTCCATTCCTCCTTAGTTCATCTACTACCTTCTCAACTCTATCAAAATAATCAGAAATAGACTCGGATTCCTTCATTTGAAGAGACTCAAACTCACCTCTAAGTGTTTGGAGACGAACGCGTTTTACCTTATCGACTCCACGATATGTATTTTGAAGAATCTCCCAAACTTGCTTCGAAGTAGTTGCATTTGCAACCTTCACAAGTTGATTGTCATCCAAGCATTGATGAATGAGAGTCATTGCCTTTTGATCCTTCTCCCGAGCCTTCTCTAATGCGTCCTTTTGGAGTGCACTAAGAGTACTTTCATCCTCCGGTTCAACGTAGCCATTCAGCACCAAATCCCACACCTTTTGTGAACCTAATACTGCCTTTATTCGGATGCACCAAGTACTATAGTTGTCTTTGGTTAGGCGAGGGAATTGAAAGGATTGCATCCCGTTAGCCATTGCTCTGATACCAATTTGTTGGAATATTAGAGGTAGAGGCTAAGTATTTTAGGACGTTATAAGTAAATTGTGTAAGTAGAAAAAGCTTTTAGCTAACTAGAAGAGAGGATGGAAGAAGAGAGAACTTGTATTTTATTGCTCGAAGATTTCTTAGCTTGATGCTTGATTACAAATGAGCACAACTACACATATTTATACTACTTACATCCTCAATAAATGGTGGAGAGTTCTCTAGAATCTTCTTATCTAGAATACTCTATTATTAATTATTCTCTAGAATGTCTCTAGAAGTCTCACACTCTAGAAACTTTCTAGAACATTTCTCCTCCAGAACACTCCTTATTATTTTGGGCTCTGCCCATTACAACAAACATCAATTATTAACTTAGCCCAAAATCAAGTTTACATTCTAACAGGCAACCATTAGAGAGGTATGGATTCCCGCTATAACCGAAGTTGCATTTACATCGGTACCCGAACTCGAATTTCCCCATATCGCACGTCGTGGTGTTGGATTTGCCGCAAACATACCCTTCTTCTGCAGCTGCACTTTCACAAGTCTGACTCCCATTGCCCACAGCCCAGTCGACGACCAAAGGCGTCGAGTTAAACCCCAGACGTCTATGTGTGAGATCCTCCCGACGGTAACGATTTCCATACCAGTTTTTTCTGGCCACAAAAGAATGGCAGCAATTGTTGAACCCCAAGCTACTGGCAGTAAGCTCAGGGGCGGATCTAGCATTTACGTTCAGGTGGGGCCATAATTTAATTAAATAACGTATATTATAAAAAAATGTCAAAATGTAGTACAGTATAATAATATCTTAGAAGTCAAAATGTAAATTATAGAATGTCAAAGAATAAATTGAATATTACAGAATCAACGATACAATTATCTTAAAAGTCATAGATATCGAACCGAAGTTTTATCGGTTACCCAAACGTGTAGTGCCAATTTTTAGGTTAGTTTCTCGGAAACAAGATAAACCGATTTTTTTACTCTAAAATCTATACTCTATATAAAGAAAACTTATTTTCACCTACGAAATCCAATGTATTCAACTAATTAATTTTTCGGTCAATATTCAAAAGCCCAATGAATTAAACTAATTAATTTTTAGGACAATATTCAAAAAGCTCAATCAATTGAACTAATTGGTTTTTCAGACTAATAAAGCTCAATTAGTTGGACTACTTAATTTTTGCATCCTAGTATTCAAAAGTTAAAATTCAGACTTGATTTGTGTAAGATAGCATGTTCCTGGATTTGGATGGAAAATACAAAAAACTGCTGCTCCAGCTAGGAATCGAACACATAACCTCTATACTGCCAATCACACATCTACCATCACACCAACATAACTTTTGTTTAGAATATGACGTTTGTTCTAATTATACCATTTCTTCACAGTACATATATATATATATATATATATATATATATATATATATATATATATATATATAATAGTAATTTCTTTTTTTTTGAGTCGAAGCCTAGGCCCTCCCTGGCCGTATGCCAGATCCGCCCCTTGGAGATATTCCTTCATCGTCACTTGCTCCTGGTTGTCCGGTTCTAGCCGACGGACACGTATAACTCCGGCGAAGAGCTTCTCCCTCTATCTCCGGCAAATGGCAGCACCTTGTCCACTCCAGTAATGTGGCTAGTCCATAATAAACATACCTGCAAAGGAGAATAACAAGAAACAACGTGGCTCGAGACGCGTAAACGCCGGCCTCAGAAAGTATTTCCGGTGAACGGAAATCTTCCCCCAGGATATAACGAGCCCTTCGACCATGAGTCAGAACCAGAACTACGAGGGAAATCAACATCATAATAATCCAGCACAAGCTTTTTGATGAAAACATTTTTGTGAAGTTGTTTTTCCTTTCTTTTCTCTCCAAGAAGACAAAGTGTGCGTGTGTGTATTTTATGAGGGATTATTGCTCCATATAAAAAGGAAGAATATGGGTGTTGGTGATCCTAATAAATAGGAGCAAATAATGGAAAACATCCGTTCCTAATTTTACTTTGGCTCCACCCAATTAATTAGAGTGTTAATTACCCTTTCGGTTACTTAAGAGTGATTTGTTCAAAATATTTTGTTTATTTGAAATAACAAAATTTCCAACAATCCCCCACATATTTCAAATAAACATTTTACAATTTTGAATACACTAAAATAAAAATATGCTGGATTAAAGGAATGAGACTTTAAGATTGGTGTCCGTAGACTATGAACCAAACCGAGACGATTAAGTCTTTATAAACCGAGCTTTTGGTGAAGCATATAGTTTCTATGAACCAAAAAGCTACTATGGTAAATCAGGGTCTTAATGGTCATGTCTCACCCCGCACAACTCCCCGCGTTAACGCCGTGGTGCGCCTTTCGGCCGTGCGCGTGCCTGGTTTTCGTGAGTGCTATAGAAGCGTTGTCAAGGCTTCATAGAGACGGCCCCACCTCACACTCATATAGGTGATCTCATCAAGTGTGTTCTGCACTTAACACACCACCCATAAGGGCTATGAAAATCATTAAGAGTTTTAGCTCAACCTCACAAAGAAATGCAGTCTAGCCTTCCACACCATAGAAAGGGACATTTAATAAGGCTAGCAGAACAAATAGAAGACTTGTTATTACCCATATGAACTTGCTTCATGGGATCTCCAATCACACAAGTTGGGTTACCATCCCTATTTGTAGTCAAAGTGACACTAGTCCCATTTCCCTCGATGTTTCGATTATCATTTTTCGTCCTAGGGCTTTCGTCAAAGGATCCGCTAGATTACCTTATGACCTCACAAAATTAATGGACACAGTTCCATTCTTCAATAATCGTTTAATGACTTTGTGTCTTAAACGAATGTGTCTATTCTTCCCATTATAACACATTTTCTTAGCAGTATTTATTGCACTTTGGCAATCACAAAGAATAGACACCGATGGTGTTGGTTTTGTACCAACCGGAATTTCTGCTAAGAAATTTTTCAACCACTCCGCCTCACTACTAGTCACTTCCAAAGCTATAAGCTCAGACTCCATAGTGGATCTAGAAATGAGAGATTGTTTGGTTGATTTCCACATAATAGCACCACCTCCAAGGGTGAATATATATCCTGTATTGGATTTAATCTCATCTGAGTCAGAGACCCAGTTAGCATCATTGTATCCCTCTAGTACAACGGGTAAACCTCTATAAAATATACCATAATTCATGGTACCTCTCAAATATCTCAGTAACCGCCTCAACACGGTCCAATGATCCCCATTTGGATTATGGGTATATCGGCTCAATCTTCCGACAGCATAGGCTATGTTGGGTCTCGTATAGTTCATTAAATGTAATAAACTCCCAATTATTTGTGCATATTCATATTGAGCCTCAGGATCACCTCTATGTTTTGCCAAATGTGTATTAGAGTCATAAGGGGTATTCACAGGTGTGACATTGAAATGTCCAAATTTCTTTAGAAGTTTTTCAGCATAATGCTCTTGAGATAGTATGATACCACCATCCTTCCTTATGACTTTAATACCTAAAATCAGTTTTGCTTCACCCAAATCTTTCATATCAAATTTTGAAGCAAGAAATGATTTTGTCTCATTTATTAGCTCAAGGTTGCTACTAAAATTAACATGTCATCCTCATACAAGCAAATAATAATGCACACACCATTTTTTATTTTAGTGTATACACACTTATCTACTTCAAGTGAGGTAAAACCATGAGCAAATAATACTTCATCAAATTTTTCATTCCATTGTTTTGGATCTTGTTTCTCACCATACAAAGATTTGATCAACTTACACACTATGTGTTCCGGTCCATAAACTACATGACCCTCCGGTTGCACCATATAAATTTCTTCCTCTAATTCACCATTTTAAAACGTTGTTTTAACATCTATTTGATGTATAAGAAGTTTGTGAATAGAAGCCAAAGCAATTAAAGTTCTGATGGAAGATATTCTCGTTACCGGTGCAAAAGTATCAAAATAATCAACATCTTGTTTTTGAGAAAATCCTTTTGCCACAAGCCTCGCTTTATATTTGTCAATTGAAGCATTCGGATTAAATTTCTTTTTAAAAATCCATTTACATCCGATTGGTTTGCACCCTTTAGGCAAATCAGTTAAAATCCAAGTTTTATTTTTCTGGATAGAATCAATTTCATTTTGAATTGCCTCAAGCCAAAAAGGAGCCTCTTTTGATGAAATAGCTTGTGAATAAGTAAAAGGTTCATCATTAACAAGATATGTATAAAAATCATTTCCAAAAGATTTTTCTATTCTTGGCCTCTTACTCCTCAAATTAGAGGGTTCATCATTAAAAGTTTCATTTTCTTTTAATGGCTCACTTTCACGATACGGTGCAACGGTCTTGTATTTTGGTTTTAAAGGAAACACACTCTCAAAAAATTCAGCATTTTTTGTTTCAATAATAGTGTTGCAATTAAGCACATCACTTTTCAAAACAAGAAATCTATAAGCAGCACTAGAGTTAGCATAACCAATAAACATGCAATCAGATGTCTTAGAACCAATTTTCCTCTTCTTAGGATCAGGCAATACGACTTTAGCCAAACACCCCCACACTTTCAAATATTTCAAATTAGGTGCATGACCTTTCCACAATTCATAGGGTGTTCTCTTATTATGCTTATAAGGAATTCTGTTTTGTAAGTGACAAGCAGAAAGAATAGCCTCCCCCCACAAATTATCTGGCGCACCAGAACTAATTAAAAGAGCATTCATCATTTCTTTTAATGTTCTATTTTTTCTTTCAGCCATTCCATTTGATTCAGGCGAATACGGGGGAGTTATCTCATGGATAATACCTTCCCTCTCACAAAAATCATTTATTAAAATATATTCGCCCCCTCTATCCGATCTCACTCTCTTAATTTTCTTATTCAATTGATTTTCCACCTCGGATTTATACACTAAAAATTTATCAAAAGCCTCATCTTTACTTTTAAGCAAATAAACTTTAGTGTATCTCGAAAAATCATCTATAAAGGTGACATAAAATTTATTACCACCTCTAATCATGGTATTTTTTAAATCACCTAAATCCGTGTGAATTAATTCAAGCAATTCCGATTCCCTATGTGTGGTAGGACATGATTTTTTGGTTTGTTTTGATTCAACACAAATATCACATTTTTCTAGTGTCAATTTCTTTCCACTAGAAATCAAGCCACGATCATGCAACAATTTAATATAAGAATCACTCACATGTCCTAATCTAGCATGCCACACATCATATGAATCAATCAAATAAGCAGAAGCATTGTCACGCATTAATTTTGGAATACTAAGCACATAACATACATTCTTACAATAGCCTTTGCCCACAAAAACATCATTTTTGGTCATAACAATTTTGTTACAATTAAAAGATACTTTAATCCCAGCTTTTACCAAGAGAGAAACAGAAACTAAATTAGTTCGAATCTCAGGCACATAAAGTACGTCATTTAGTGATAAAGTTTTCCCCGGTGTGAGTTTAAGAAGAACTTTCCCTTTACCGTGCACTTTTGCGGTTTTTGAGTCCGCTAGGTACACGAGCTCTTCGTCATCTCCCATAGTAGAACTATAAGAGGTACAAGCGCTTTTATTTTTACAAATGTGCTTGGTAGCCCCGGAGTCTACCATCCATTCATTCACATCATTTATTTTACAACTTTGAGAAAAAACCACAATAAAAATATCATCAATTTTAATCAATTTTAATTTTGATTTAAGTGGGTTGTTGTTTTTCATAGTTGTCTTTTTATCACATAAAATGACATACTTGTACGTTATAATAAGTAGGATTAAAATAAGGCTTATTGGAAATAGGATAACACATAAAATAATCACAAAATGAGATAAAGTAATGCAGGTAGATTCACGTAGGTACAAGATTGCCAAGACTAAAGCAATTAAAAGAAATACCAAGTTTGGTAGCCTTATTGTGAACAAAGATTTCAGCGGACTATAAAATTGGAATCGCAGGAGCGCAGTTGACATTGATCGCAGCAGTGGTCCTTGTTCAATACTTTCTGAGACTGTTGGAGATATTCCTTCATCGTCACTTGCTCCTGGCTGTCCGGTTCTAGCCGACGGACACGTATAACTCCGGCGAAGAGCTTCTCCCTCTATCTCCGGCAAATGGCAGCACCTTGTCCACTCCAGTGATGTGGCTAGTCCATAATAAACATACCTGCAAAGGAGAATAACAAGAAACAACGTGGCTCGAGACGCGTAAACGCCGGCCTCAGAAAGTATTTCCGGTGAACGGAAATCTTCCCCCAGGATATAACGAGCCCTTCGACCATGAGTCGGAACCAGAACTACGAGGGAAATCAACATCATAATAATCCAGCACAAGCTTTTTGATGAAAACATTTTTGTGAAGTTGTTTTTCCTTTCTTTTTTCTCCAAGAAGACAAAGTGTGCATGTGTGTATTTTATGAGGGATTATTGCTCCATATAAAAAGGAAGAATATGGGTGTTGGTGATCCTAATAAATAGGAGCAAATAATGGAAAACATCCGTTCCTAATTTTACTTTGGCTCCACCCAATTAATTAGAGTGTTAATTACCCTTTCGGTTACTCAAGAGTGATTTGTTACAAATATTTTGTTTATTTGAAATAACAAAATTTCCAACAATCCCCCACATATTTCAAATAAACATTTTACAATTTTGAATACACTAAAATAAAAATATGCTAGATTAAAGGAATGAGACTTTAAGTTTGGTGTCCGTAGACTATGAACCAAACCGAGACGATTAAGTCTTTATAAACCGAGCTTTTGGTGAAGCATATAGTTTCTATGAACCAAAAAGCTACTATGGTAAATCAGAGTCTTAATGGTCATGTCTCACCCCGCACAACTCCTCGCGTT